AGTACTTGTTATCTAATAAAGATAATTACACATTACAAAACTAGGAATTCTTATATAATAAGTATCCTAAATCTTAAACAACGAGTTAGGTAAATTATATTAGATGTTCTTTCTTTTAAATATCCAATTAAGTGTTACATTATGTAAGACTATATATTAATTTTGAAAATTAAAAGCTAAGGGGACGAATCTAATTAAATTATGAAAGTTTTATGAAAATATTATATATATATGGGAAATTTTTCAAAGTCCAAGGGGGGCAGTCGCCCCCCCCCCCAAATCCATCCCTGCATATAACATATTTATATTTTGTATTATATTGAACAACCTAAATACCATCCACTATATTAAAAAACCCTAAATACTTTGTATTCAAATAATTAACACCATCCACTATATAATATACTCCGTATATGGTAGTATTACCATGTTAATATATATCATTCATTGGTAGTACTATCCTCCGTTTTTTAATTCTTGCAACGCTTTGGCTTTCACGTTTGCCAATGCACAACTTAATTTGACTATAAATATATTTATTTATTAATTAGTAAATATTATAAAAAGTTGATATTTTGGAAATTCACGTTAGTAGGAATTCAGTAACATTTTATACGTAATAATTTGATTATGTATATTAGTAGAAAATTATGGTCAAAGTAAGGTATGTGAATGTGAATAGTGCAAAAATCTCAATCTTGCAAGAATTAAAGAACGAATTGAAAGAAGTATTATATATTCCTTTTTGGTTACTCCGTAATATTTTGGCTAGCAATACTTGCCAAATACTCCGTATATCTGACCTTATTAAATTCAAATATAAGGCGACTTTTTATATGGTAGTATGTCCAAATATAATCCTACATATACAGAGTCAATTATGCCCTTTAAATGGGCGAGAATTTTACCTCCAAAAATTGTAGCAACTCTGCTACTTTATATAATATAAAAAATTTTAAAATGATTTACGTTAAAATAAATCAATTGTAAACCTGAAAATCGTTATTAAAATATATGGAGCATGTATTTTTGTGACTTATCATTGATATTTGATTTATACATTGACGTGTAAAAGAATTCATGCTACGCTACTTACATACTTTCAAATTCAATAATGGGAAATTGTGGCCCGGTAGTTAATTTCCTTGTTGGTATACCGAATGATTTCTATTTTTGCATGCTCTTTACTTCTTTAGAATAAATTCAGCCCTGGAAACATTGATGAAAGTTAAATTACACCATGTACTGTGGAGTAAAAGATTTCAAATATGGTAATGATTTTACTTTGACGTCGGTGATGAGAATCAAATTGTGCATCTCATGCTCTAATGATTGTAACTATATTTATCGAACATTGAATGTAAAAAAAAATGATACACATTTATAGCAATTCATAATTGTGCATTTGGACGAGAATTTTCCCTCTAATAATAGTAGCAATTTTTGTACTTTATATTATATAAAGATTTTACTACTCTCACACTCTTCTCTGATTCTCTTTGTTAAGACTTCATCACCGTTTGGACCTCCAACATTATACATGAATCATGGCATTAAGCTCCACCTAGGTGTACTATTAATTGATTACATAGGTGAAAAATGGAAAAAGTATTTAAAGAACTTGCCTTTTTTGAATGCTTAAAAGTAAAACTCAATGACACTTTCACTTCCAATTCTAGATGTTACGGAGTAATTTTTTGCTTCATCTTAAAAAGAAATTAGGTGTACGTAAATGGTTTGACTAGTTCAACTTATTTCTTTTTAGTTAAAATTTCAAACACGGTCAATATTGTTGACCTTATCAATCACTTCTGTATTCCAAACTTGCCAAACTGCCAACTTGTTTTATTTATTGATTCTATAAACAAATCAACTTCTACAAATACCACAGTTCCATGAGTCCATCGTGCAGAAATTAAGAAATAGAGATACTAATCAATTATTAGGATCACACATACAAACTACTTTCATGTCTAAAAACATTATAGATTTTTTCCATGAAGTTAATAATCTATACTAATATAAAAAGGGAAACCAAGACACCAAATGCCTACCGCCTATTACGCCTATTATAAAGAGAAACCAAGTCAACAAAAGTCTGCCGCCTAACCGTTGCAACACTTCAACCATGCGGGCCTAGGGCCTCCATAAAAAAGATTCAGTTTACATAATAAATCAAGGCTGGCATTTGGCCCAGAAAATTAAAATCCCAAAGTAAGCTGCCTGTGAGGGGTATTCCACGTGCGGACATGCCTGTCTCTGTTTTAACTATGAAAGATATCATGTTTATGCCAAAGGGATAAATATTTAAAAAGATAATGCATTAAACGAAATTAAAAAAAAACAAGTTACCTATACGAAAGTTTTTTAACAAATCCATTTTCCGCACAACACATCTATAAGTAAATCGACGGGACGGTTTAATCCCAATACGCGTAACCGCAAAGTCAAACATAGTTAAATACACGACAGAATATATTCAGCGACTTTGCATCGTTGTTCGCGTGAAAATACTTTCATTTTTTTTATTCATTCTGCGTTTTATAGAGAAGCCTTCTAAAGATGTTGTATAGTCCAATCTAGGGGTTGAACACGAGAGGTCAAACTGTCAAAGAAAGAGAAAAACAAAGCATAGCAAACAAGATTTAATTGACAAGTACGGAACTGAGTTACAAACTTACAACAAAATCAAAATCTAATAAAGTTATAGATGGATTTAGTCGAAGCTCTTTATATGCGGACGTGGATGAAGGACGTGAGACAGACACGATGGGGCGGAGCTTCGTTGCAAAAAAAAGAAGAAGCCCAAGTTAGATGCGATATAGATACGACCGACCTGGAGATAGTTCGACGAACAACGCGGCGGACACTGCGATGGACCTCATGAGTACACCGAAGGGTGGCTGCTGTTATGTTGTTTGGCTCTTCATTGTTATGGCAAGTGGCTCTGGAAATATTTTAGTGCGGCGATGTATACATAGAGAGGGAGAAGTTGAGATGCGGGCGTGATGAAGAGACGGTGTGACGAAGAGGTGATGGAAGATGAAAAGGAAGAGTGGGTTCTAGACTTCACTCTACTTTGTTGTGTGAGTATATAATATCGTATATAATCCGTGTTATTGTAGTATATATTTTTTGCAATACGATTGGGCCGAAATCCGTTTGGAAAGTTTACACTTGCCCGTGAAAGCTATTTTTTGTCTGAGAATAGTGTTTTCACAGACAAAACATGTTTTGTCTGTGAACAATGTTTTAAGACAAAACATGTTTTGTCTGTAAATTAAGAACTTCTCCATACAATTAGATAACTACCTTAAGAAGCTGATCACTCTATCTGTTCAACTTTAAATTCATCCAAAATTCAATTAGATAAACTGTTCAAAAACACGTGTCTCCATACATAAACATAAATCAATGTTGTATATTCTATGCTAATTTGATTTTATATACCGTGTATTTATGTACATATTTATACATACATGTGCGCGCTATTTAATGAATACAAAAGTGTGTCATTTAGATTGTTTTTGTATTTGTTTTCATTTCATTAAAAAAAGCTACATGTGTAATTATGTTAAAATTATTGTCCCGTGCATCGCACGGGTACAACACTAGTAGCTAATAAAATAGAAATTCAATTCCTCTGATCCAATTTTCATCACATTAATATACCAAGATAAGAGATCAAATACAAACATTTTCTAATTTACAAACTACAAACTCATTTTAATCATCCGTTGAATTGATCTAAACGATGAAATTGCACGATGGATTTTGGTAATAAAATCAAAACTTTTTTACGGATGTTATTTCATTACACAATAATATGCAACACATTAAACCTCAATATACAATACGAATAGCGTAAAGATGAATCGTACAAACGTTTGCATAATAAATGCACTATACGGATATATATACCAGATATGCCCCCTCAATCTTTCTAACCCTTTCAAATCATATTCCCTTCATTTTAAATTTCAATATTATCTTCATTCTTTCCTTATTCATTTGTTTCTAAATAAATTTCATTTTCCTTTTGTGATGAAGAATGTATAGTTCATATAATGTATTCCTCCTCTGTAAAACTCTCGATCATATCATTTCCACTTTTTTAATAGTGAGACACTTAAAGTATTAATTTCACGGGGTTTGCTCCATCGCTGACAAACACTTATCAACAGAGGTTGAATACCTTAATTTTATAAAAAACAAAAAAAAAACTTTTATACACACTTTACTATTTACACACGTGTACCCACTGTTTGTGACGACTTTTTTTACTGTCATAAACAAAAGGTGTTTTGTCTGTTATAGACAAAACACATTTTGTTGACAGGCAATATATAAAAGTGTGTAAACAGTAAAATGTGTAAAAAAAGAATCGTGGTGTCATAAAGTTCATACAATCCATATTAGGATAATGTGACGCACAATTATGAGATCATTATTCAAATTTGGACCGGTGACCTCTTTATTAAGTTTTAAAGTTGAAAATATTTTGACCAAAATGTTTGAATGGTAGGGTTTAGGACGTTTTCTTTTGGACTGAAATTTGCTGGTCTGGTCAGATCTGGTCTGATCTGGTCTGGTCTGTTTAAGTCTGGTCTGGTAAATGTCTGGTATCTGTGTATTTTATAACTATTCAAGTTTGGTCTGGTCTGATCTGGTCTGATCTGGTCTAGGACTGAAAACAGTCCAAAAGAAAACATCTTTATACCGGTGGGCGTAGCTCAACTGGTAGCGAGGGAGTGCCACAAGGGTTAGGTCTCGGGTTCGAATCCCGGCAACTGCGATGAGGGGTTACTATGCTGAAAAATGCATAGGGCTTCTGCAAGTACCGGGGACAGAGCCCCACTCTCTATCTGTCAGATTGTGATTATAGTCCAATTTACATCCTCCCATCGTGCCGTCCGGTCGGTGTTGGGGGGCCCTCAGGGATGGGGTGTCATCCTTTTTTAAGAAAACATCTTTATCCTCCAACATTTAATTGTCATAATTTGTAATTGATGATCTTAAACAGGATCAGATAATGCAGGTTCTTTATTCTCTGCCCCAGACTGAAAATGGACTTTCTCTAAAGTCTCGGAATACCCCCTCCCCCTTTTCTTCATTCATGCTTTCTTTTTCAATTTCTTATTCTGGAAATGGGGATGAATCCAGGCTCCCAATGATAAATCCAGTCTCCATGGCTACGCATTGCTCTCAGCTCGTCTGATATCTGAGGGGCCTCCACCACCTGTATATGTGTACGTATAATTGTTGTATACATCTACGCTTTTGTCTGTGTGCGTTTTGTACATTTTGTGTGTGGATTTTCCCGCTCCCCCCTCTGTTATGTTGTTCGTCGGGAAGCTTAAAATTGAAAGCTGGAATCATACGATCTTATCTGTTAATGGAGTGATTCATGTGGAAAAAGAACCCGTTTTTATTAGTTGATTGATAAGGGAAAGGGAGAAAGAAATGTATGGCGCAAGGGCTCATACTCAGAGCCTGAAGGATTTGGCGTTAGAATACGGGTCTCAGATCACGACACTCCGACCGAGCATTTACGCCAGGAGGGCGAACCTGACGGTGAAATTCCAGGATCTGTATGGTTTCACGGTGGAGGGAAATGTGGATGATGTGAATGTGTTGAATGAGGTGAGGGAGAAGGTGAGGGAGCAGGCGAGGGTATGGTGGTCATTGGAGGCCAGCAAGGGTTCCAATTGGTACCTCCAAACTCATGTCTACTCAACTCTCAAGTCTTCCCTCAAGTTCTCTGCTCTTGTCAATGCCATCACCCTCAAGCGCCTCATCCGTAAGGGCATCCCTCCCGCCCTCCGCCCTAAGGTCTGGCTTGCCCTTTCTGGTGCCGCCAAGAAGAAATCCACCGTCCCGGAGAGCTATTATGATGATCTCACCAAGGCCGTCCAGGACAAGGTCACCCCTGCCACCAAGCAGATTGATCATGTCAGCGCCTCTTTCTTTGCCTTCTTAGTTTAACTTCTTGTATTTAAAAAATTGTACATTCTGTTTTTTCATTTTTGTATCTTACATAAGTTGTATATAACACAAATAGATTTATTAAAACGAGAATATAAAATAGAAAGTGAAGAAAGGAGTGTTAGGTTGTGGTTATTTTATCACAAATGGTGATTGTGGCAAGTAATATTGGATAGATGGAGAATCTTGCCTTTGCTCTCCTTATCCTTCTGTTTGTAACAAAGGAAGCACAACACTTAATCAGTTGCAAAAATGAAGAGGATGGGTTTTTAGTATCAAACTTAATTTTGATTTAGTAGTTGCTTCCGGAACATACAACTCATGGGCATAGTTCTAAATGTTAGAGAAAAAACAGTTTTTTTTTGTTTTGGTTTTTGTTTTTTGTTTCCCATATACCTAGGCTGGGGGTTAACAAGCCGGTGCGTAATGCTAAATTGTATTAGCATTATTACTATTTGTAAATGCTTTCAACTGCCATGGTTTATGCGCTATTATAGCGTTTATTACTTTTTGCAGGACCTGCCGCGTACTTTTCCTGGTCACCCATGGCTGGACACGCCGGAGGGTCATGCTGCTCTTAGGCGCGTTCTTGTTGTTTATTCTTTCCGTGATTCTGATGTTGGCTACTGTCAGGTGGGATTCAATCTTTCCCCAAAAGGACTAGTGATGATAACTTTTTCATATGTCTGCTTTCAAAGAAAAAGAAAATTTAGTTCTTTGAGATTCCTTCAGAAACAAGGCTCGTTCTTTTTTGCATGTCCTAATTTCTTTATGATACATGGGATAATGTATTCTGCACATGCATTGGTGCATGTTTTTTAACTAAGTTTACTTTGTGCTGTTTCTTGTTACTATAGTGAGAACTTTTTTAGTGAAAAATGGGTGTTATGATATTTCTTCCTGAGAAAGTTGAAAGCAAGACTAGGATTGTTTCTATTTTTTATAATGAGATTACAATTGTGTTTTTGTTTGCTAAGGTCATTACTCATTACATTAACACCAAGCATAATAGTGAATTATTATTGTGCAGGGTTTAAATTATGTTGGAGCTTTACTATTGCTTGTGATGAAAACTGAAGAAGATGCTTTCTGGATGCTTGCTGTCCTTCTAGAGAATGTGCTAGTCAATGATTGTTATACATACAATTTATCTGGATGCCATGTTGAACAAAGAGTGTTTAAGGATTTGTTAAGAAAAAAGTGTCCAAGGTGTCTCATTTTCTGAACTATGATTAAACGTTTCTTATTGTATGTTATGTATTTTCTGATTTCATCCTTTGCCTTGTTTTTGAACATAACAATGAAAAGTAATGCAGGATAGCCTCAAATTTGGATGCTTTGGAGTTTGATGTATCTCTTGTTTGTACAGAATGGTTTCTCTGTCTCTTCTCCAAGAGTTTACCTTCTGAGGTCAGTATAATAAATGCATATGCCTTTCATGCACCTAAATGTTTCTTCTTATTAATTATGATGCCCCTTTAAATGTTATTTCAGACAACCTTGCGTGTCTGGGATGTCCTATTCTATGAAGGGGCAAAAGTCCTATTTCATGTTGCGTTGGCAATTTTTAAGGTTGATTTCTTGGAATCTTTTTGTCTTGTTAATCTTGTTTGGCCTACACTAAAGTACTTAACACATTTTCTCTAGCTCTGAAAAGATCTGATTCTGATTTTATGTTCACAATATGTAGATGACCGAAGAAGAATTGGTATTGGCGCACCAAGTTGGAGATGTAATAAATATTGTACAGAGGACCACTCATCACCTTTTTGATCCCGATGATTTATTAACGGTAACGCGTTACTTGCTGCCCTCTACTTCCTTAGCCTGTGTGATTTTCTACTTAGCCAGATTGTTTTGTTTTATTTTTCTTTTCTGAAACCTCATAAGCGATGCCCTTAATTGTCCGCTCGTTCATGGTACCTGAAACTTGTCCAACACTCAATCTCTTCTACCTAAAACTTGTCCAAACTCCAAACAATCAATCTCAACTCTCAAACTTTGGTGGTCAACGCAAACTCAAAGTGTTCTATAAAGCGCTAGCAGTATACACAGTGGGTTATTGCAGCTATCCAACCTGTTCAAACTCTAGCAGGAAGGATTTGGGTAGGTAGTGTGGGGTACTGGGTGGGTTCAGGTAGAGAGGGGAAACCGAAAATGAAAACCTATCCCAGAGTAAGGTAGAGTTGAGTTGTACGCTTGTAGTATAGTACCCGAACCCATACCCAAACCCCAAGTTTATATTGATATACTTCGTATGTTTTCTATTGAAATACACTAATGTACATACGAGTGATATGCATGCATAATATGTGTGTATTTTGTATTAGAGTAAGCAAATAAGTACATCCATGCCTGGTTTCACTTCCTCAAATTGAGCAGATTTAGTCATTTCAACCAAAGCATGAAAAAATGAGCAGGTAGCTTTTGACAAGATAGGCTCAATGACAACCACAGCTATATCAAAACATAGGAAAAAGCAGGAGCCAGCGGTGTTGGCGGAGCTGGATCAGAGATCAAGACGGTTGTACTCATATGGTGAGGATGAAGGAAGATGACAACTAGGCATGCAAATGTGTAATTGTAAGGTATCATACTACAAAATACATTTTTTCCCTTTTTATCTTTTCTCGGGGGCATTCTACTTCCGGGCTTGTTAGCAGATAAAATGAATTTGGGCCTTTGTTGTGGAATTATGTGAAGTTTGTAACTAATCCATGTACCTAGTTATCATCCGTGGTTTTGTAATATTTGTAAATGAAACCTTTCCTCCATTTTTGGTTATGGATATCTCATATCTCATCAGCTTCTTGTGCAGTTTCTGCTTTAAGCATTTAAGATTGTTTAGACTTTCACACGGTTTACTATTAAACAGTGATCAGATCTAAGATTTCGAGTCAATGGAGTAGTGGTGGATTCGGGTCGGGTCACCCGGACCGTGGACCGGCCCGCTACTGTGCGGGACCGGGACCGGCCCGGTTCTCGGGTCCTGGTCGGGCCTAGGCCGGGGGGGTCTGGGCTCGGGTCTTACAATTGGCGAACCGGCCCGGCCGGGTCGGGTCCGGGCCAAATTGATTTTTTTTCTTCAATTTTTGGGGTTCCACCCGGGTTGGGCTTGATGGTTAGGAGGGGTTTGGGGGGTGGGGGGGGTGGGGTGGGGGGGTTGGGAAAGCAAAAAAAAAACAAACCAAACCGGAGGCCCGACCCGGACTGGACCCGGTGGCTGCCCGGGCCTTGGCCCGACCTGGACCTGGCCCGGCCCGAGTCAACGCCTACAAGGGAGGACCAAATAAATTTGTTTGTGTAGGGGGGTGAAAATTTCAGTTGGACTCGGGCCGGGCCAACCGGCCCGGAACCGGACCGGCCCGCTACTGTGCGGGCCCGGACCGGCCCGGTCAACCGGTTGGTGCACCGGTTCGGGCCACCCGGCCCGGAGGGATGGCGGTTCGGGCTCGGGCCCTGATTTAGGTGAACCGGCCCGGCCGGTTCGGGCCCGGTCCGGGCCGGATTTTAATTTTTTTTTTTTTTTTTTTTGAAATTTTTTTAAATTTTGGGTTGGATTAGGTGTTTTGGGCCATTTGAGGTGGTTTGGGGTAGTTTGGGGTTGAGGGGGAGGGGTAGGGGGTTAAAAATGAGAACCAAAAAAAAAAAAAATAAAGTGACCGGTTCGGCCCGGCCCGGCCCGGCCTGGTTTGGCCCGGAACCGGAACCGGAACCGCCCCCCGGCGGTTCGGGCCCGGGCCCTAGTTTTCTGGCCCGAGGCCCGGCCGGGCCCAGGCCCGAACCGGGCCCGAACCGGCCCGAGTCCACCCATGGGTGAAATTTGTTCGCTAGTGTAGCTAGGTGAAAATTTTTCGCTAGTATAGCGGGATGAGATTTTTTCACTAGTGGTTATTCCACTAATACATACACGACATACATTTAAATCTATTACATTTTAAGTTTAGACAATTGAAAAATAACAAATAATAGTGGTTATTCCACTATTATCTTTGATTTTATAATTGAAGTGCTCTAGAAACAAATATTCATACATTAAAGCATAACAAAAGGAAAATCAAAGAAAAAATTATTAGAAAATAAAAAGGGGTATATAACATTTTATCAAATTATATGAAGATAAAGAGTTTAAAACCTACACATCCACCAATACTTTTTAAATAATTGTTGTTTCGTTTAACCACATAAATCTTATTGTAATTAGGGTTGAGCATAATCCGGTTTGGTCAAGAAAATCTGACCGGACCCGGACCGGATAGATACCAGTCCGGTCTTCGGTCCAAGTATTTTACTGATTTCGGTTCCGGTCCGGTTCGGTCCAAAACCCGAATCAGACCAGAATTTAATCATTATATATGTATTTATTTATATATGTATTAAATTTGTATACACACAAATACATACTTCGTGCATAGCACAATATATAATTAATTTACCAAAAAATACATTAATTAAGTGATACAATACCTTAGACATTAACTCAAATTACATATTATGTACATAGTATTATATACTTATTTACACTAGTAAACCTTTGTAGTATAAAAACATTAGGAGTTAGAATATAAAGGTGCATTGTATTTACTTATGTTTACTTGTTCTAACCTTATACATAGTGTGATTAATTGAACTCATCTTTGTTAAATATGCAAAGCCATTGAGTCAAATCATTCACTAAATTAATCGAGCAAGAATGTTAGTTTCCCATATTAATATGATCATTCATAAAATTTTAGAGTCAAAATTGAATCACATAGTTTTTATATTTTCACTAGGCATAGTTCATGTGTTTATTTATATTTTTTTTCATGTATTATAATGTATATTATATTGATTAAAAGAGATATAAAAATATAAAACATACATATAAAACAATAAATTAGTTATAGTCACATATAAAACATCATAAACTAATACCCCGTAATAGAAACAACGAGCTAATAAGTAAATTTTTGGACAATCAAAACTATTCTTTTAAGATGAAACGTAACATTGTAAAAGTAAGAAAATAAAAAATCCGGTCCAATACTGTTCTGGACCGGAAAACCTGGAATAACCCGGTCGTGTCCGGTCCTAAACCATAATTATATAGGTCCGGTCTTCAGTCCATTTTTTTTAGAATTCTGGTTTCGGTTCAATCGGTTCCGGTGCAGTCCGGTCTAGTCTTGGACCTGTGTTCAACCTTAATTGTAATAAAGAATTAATATTTGAATTACAATTTTTGTCTATCAATGAGGATGTTCGTGAATCACAAGGAATTTTTTTAATATTACAATAGTATGTATGAGATCATTATTTTTAGAATATAATTATATTGCTAATTCATATATATGTTACATATTATATTTGTATTAATCCTAAAACAAGTTAAGGTTTATTATCTATGCAATTAATTGTTTTTAGAATGTAGTAAGTAAATGAATTGTGTAATTTAATGTCAAAAAATATTAATATTTTGATTCACTTCAAATGAACTAAAAACTGTTTAACTATTGTGTTTAGTATTTAATGTCGTTTGATATTTTACAATATCGAGTACTTATTATCTACTAAAAATAATTAAACATTACAAAATTAGGAATTTTTATATAATAAGTATCCGAAGTTTTAAACAATGAGTTGTTCTATTGCTCATTAATTTAATTTATTGTAAATTATTTTAGATGTTTCTTCTTTTAAATCTCCTATTAAGTGTTACATTATTTAAGATTATATATTAATCATTCAAAAAAAGCTATATATTTAATATGAATCTTATTAAAGTAGGTTTAAATATGGTTTTAGTCCATGCAAATATGACATACTTTGTTTTAGGTTCCTGCAAAATATTTTCTTTGTTTTTCATCCTTGTAGTATGCGCTATTTCGGTTTTAGTCCATCTTTAACTCCGAAATAACTTTACTTAGAATTTTTTTTATTGTCGGTTGCATATATCTACTAGAAACATTTAAATTTATTATTTTATAATTTTTTTGAGGCTAATATGAGAGTTACAACAATTTTAAAACTAATTATTCACACTTTTAAAATATGTACTAAAAACCTTTTAAAAAATAAAATTAAAACTTTTTGAATGACATGACAAAGAGTTAAAGGATACCTATTAGTCGGGATTGTTTCGTTGTCAAACTGTTATCATTAGTCATGGACTAAAAGTAAAACCAACATAAATTTCAGGGATGATATACAAAGAAAATATTTTGCATGGATCTAAAACAAAGTGTGTTATATTTGGAGGGACTAAAAACATATTTAAACGGTATTTCAACCGCTTATGATCCCTCAATCTTTCATGACGATTCAAAAATCAAAATATAAAAGTTTGGCTTGGACCAATCACCGGAGAGCAACTCGATGTGAAAGTACCATTTATGAACCACAATTGATAAAATTAAAGCTTGACTTAGACTGGTCATGAGAAAATCTTAATCGCATTACCTTTGCATTGGCATGTACAGTCTAGGCTTCTTCCTTGCCACTGTTGCCAGTCAAAAAATTAGAAAGCATTTATAAATCCATCCAATGAGCATCAGTTGCAGCTGGCTACCATCACTTCACCCTTGAAACATGCTTAATTAATATTAACACTTTATCTTCTCCAAGGATCAAAGCCAAAGTTTGAGGGAGGAAATTCAGCCCCAACTTCACACTACTAGAAAAACGATCTATAGTGACACTAAATTAGTGTCACAGAAAGTTTTACTGACACTAGAAAAGTGTCAAAGAAGGTCGGGAATTGTGACACTAAATTTAGTGTCACTGGTAAAGTGTCACTAATTTATGACACTAATGTATCATAAATAATTATGATAAAATAATGTCACTATATATTTTGACACATTAGTATCAATTAAATTTATGATACATTGGTATCACTTTATATTTTGACACATCAGTATCAATTAAATTAATGATACATTGATATCACATAATGTTAATGATTAATAAATTTATTTTATACATATATCTATACAGGCACAAAATATAAGATTATTACTTGAAATATATAAATGACAATGCATGAAAAATAAAAAAAGCGCTTCTTTATTAAAAAAAGAATTATCATTTACAATTCGAACGTCATACACATTCCAACATTACAAAGTCAACTAAATCTGTAATAAACTAATTTGAGATCCTCCAACTGCTATAAACTCCACCTAGATCTTCAACATGAGAGCCCAGTGCTTCCCACTTGATGGCTTTTCAATATCTAAAGACATAAAATCAAGATACATTATATCGCGATAATGAATAATGTTTATGTGAGAACACCAAAGTATCGTTGCTAAAAAGTAACCATCAATCTTGGATGCACTTCAAATTACAATGATATGAATATATGTTTATGAAAATACCAAGTACATATAGAATAGATGTCCATTTCGCATTTGCTTGCGAGGTGAAATATTTAACTTGTTCAGATGAACGTTCTCAATCATTGCTTTGAATATTACCTATATTTGCCTATATTGAGGCACACACATACACACACATACATAAATATTATATATTATGGAACCAAATAATTGCAAATACACCATCTACCCTTTAAAAATATATACGTGAAAAAAGGAACCTGCAACTATGCTCTAGGACAAAGAAATAAGAGATAACAAAATCTAATAAGACTCTTTCATGCTGTAAAATTAAAAGAAATATGTTGTGAAGTTAACGGAAAAGGAACCTGCAACTAACTTTTAAAAGTATTAGCATGCAAACAAGTTTACAAACCAAAAAAATTACATGCCTAGAAGAACAAGTTGCAAGCAATACACACATGTTGAAATAACATCAATATGTA